CTTAAATTATAAACTATATTTTAAAAAAAAATCCTAAAATAGACATGTTTTAATAATAAAAAATATAATGTATATTTAATAAAATAAATAAATAAAGGTGTTGGGAAATTTTATACTAAAATAAATCGATTTATTTTCTAATAAAAATTAAAAATTTTAAAAAATTTTGCAATAAAAAATATAAGATTTTATTAGAGGTAAAATATATAATGCATACACTTTATAATTAAAAAGTTTACACCCTTGTTGTGAATATGTGTGTACACACATACACACACACACACACACACACATATATATATATATATATATACAAGTTGGTTTCTTTGGGTTCATATTGTAATAAAATATATCAACTTTGTTTGCTTTGTATATGCATGTTTACCTAAATCTTAACGTGGACTTAGTTTTACAACTCCTCCTCCTTGTTCTCATTCACATATATATATATATATATGTGGGTATATGTATATATGTAATTATATGTAGGGAGGCATTGGAAGATGAGTTTCAACTTTCAACCGAGTTTATTATTACAATGGAGGAGTCAACGGCATGGCCGAGTCAACAACAAGTTAAGCAACCAAAACGAACCGTTTTGATTGAGACCCCGAACCGATGACTGACAGAAGCGTAGGGGGGTTTGTTGGGGGTGTTAGGTTTTGCTGTTCGTTGTTGTTCTACCGGCTTCTTTATACGGGACCCATCTGCCACGTGAACGAATCTTGATGGTCAAATCTGCTTAGTTGACCAAAAATGGGTCCCACCGCGTTCGCTTTCGCTGTCCTCCCAAGAAACCTTCTCCACTCGCCGCCATTTGTCTCCCTGCGCTGCCGCGGCACCGTTCCTCTGCTGACGTCCCCGACCTCCACGTGTCCATCAATCTTTGGAAACTACGTCGTCTTGTATTTAATTTAAATTAAGTAATTAATTATTGCATTTTGATTATAAAATTCAGTAGTTTCTTTCGAGGCAAATAAAAACAAAACGACACCGTATAAAATGCGGGATACGTAATATTCTTGTATATTTGTTTACCAACATAAGCGTGACGTTAATCTTGCATCATAAAGCGGCTTAATGAAGAAGATTTATTGGGCCATATATTATAATAAATGTGAATTGAGTATATATATATATATGTGTGTGTGTGTGTATATATATATATATATGTATGTGGTCTATAACTTGTCAACAGCAATATATATAAATATGTACATAACGTGTATTAAAAACAGGCATAGGTCCACAAGTAGCAGCATTAACAAAATTAGAATCTAGTATATGACATATTAACCACTCCCCATAATTTATTTCTTAATGAATTCCATAATTAACCTGCCATCAACATTAACATATATAGATATATGTATATATGTATATAGTAATTTGATTTAGTGATTAATTAAATATGTAGGTGCGTGTTAGCTAACTTAATTTAAATGGTGTATTTAAAACATAAGAATAATATAGTCTTCGGCGGGTCAAAGTTAACCATAAAGTTATATATTTATATATATATATATGTAATCATTATCATTATCATTATTATGATAAAATTTATGAAAGAATCATATGTTTATTATTTTATATGTATACATACATATATATATCTATATATATATATCTTATTAATTTAATAAACCTTAAGCTTTGTGAGGGTTGGTGAGATTATGACCATGGAGAATCTCAAATTCAACTAATGCGATTTATTATTATATATATATATATAAAGGGTGATATATAAATTCCCCTAAAAAGTAGGGAACATATAAATTATGATTTTATTTATTTAATGAAGTTGGACAAGACATGGGCATAATAGTTTTAATAAATAAGTATTAATTATATTAAATGTGTTTATGATTTAATTAATTTTAATTACACCAAAATTAAGAACTAAATCATCAAAGAAATATTTTTCAAAAAATTATACCGAAGTTGATGAGCGTGTTACACTTGGTAGTGTATTGGGCTTCTTGCATGGCATTATTATGTAAATTGTAATTTTTGCTCTCAAACGACACCGTTTAATTTCCGCACACACTATATGTCTAATATGTATGTAATCAACTTGTAGTAGTATTATGAAAGTTGAGCCCAATTAAGTAGATTGGGCTTCTTGCATGGCATTTGTGTAAATTTTGATTTTTGCTCTCAAACGACACCGTTTAATTTCCGCACACAATATATGTATAATATGTATATAATAAACTTATAATATTATGAAAATATATATCTCACAGTTGTAGTGGTATAAGGACCACACCTGAAAATCGCATGCTTTTTTTTTTTTTTTTTTTTTTTTAAGCCGGTGGCAAAAATGGTAATTATTGTGACTTTGTGGTCCTTCGCTAAAATTCAATGAACATTTTTTTTTGTTGAGATTGAAAATATTCAATGAACATTCAACACCAATTAATTCCAAAATGCAAGATACATACATATATATATATATACATATATATATATACAATTAATATCGAGAAATTATAATCTCCTTTCTCATCCAACTTGAAAATTATGTAACTTAGGCAAAATAAATTTGATAATTATGATTTGTTTTTTGATTTAAATTCAATTAGACATTAAAATATATTTGATCTATAGTTTTACCAAATTAAATATTAATAAATACGAACTTGGATTATTTGAATTTCGATAAGTAATTGATTTAAAATTTATACCTTGCATCGAAAAATTTATGAAATTTTTATATGGGTTATGAATTTTTTTAAAATATATTAATAATTGAAGTTATTTTTTAGTAAATTTAAATTCAAAATAATATATTATATTCGCATATACACCATGAAGTTCATGACTATCTTTAATTCTCTCGTTTTATCTTTTTAGTGGGTATTTCCAACCTTACTCCCAACTAGCCCAAAACCAAAAGAAAAAACAAAGGCAAGTTGAATCATAGACTTGTACTCTATCTTACATATATGTATATGTACATGTATAGGTACATATATAAAAGACATGTAACGTGCATAGCCATCATGGTTTCGACCCATAACATCACTACCATAATTGCACACGAACACATGGGAAAAAAACCAGCAGTGAAAAGTTAATCATACCCAACAAGTTGATCACGTGATCCCGTCCCGCGTCAGCGTTTATTGCCACGCGGCGTGTCCTGGGTGACCGGAACTGCTGATTGAGTTGCTGACGTGGTCAACTTTTTTAAATTGAATTTTGATTTCCGGTTTCTGATTTTCTTTTCAAAAACACTTCAGAATTCAAATTTTCACCCATTTTTTTTAAAATCAATTTCAATTAAATCTAAAAAAAAAAGGTTCCAATATTAAAAAAAAAAAGAAAAAATTTATTTTTGGGGTGTTACAAATCATGTGTATACGAAGATGGCATGTTTAGAATTTTGTAGTATATACATCAAAATTTTATTGGGTTTAAGCTCTTTATACTTTGATATAAAGGTTAGCGACATGCATGCTTATATATAAAAAGAGCAAAATATACGAGCAAAACTTATAAGAATAATAGCAAGGAAATACAATGGAGATCAAGAAAACTTGCGAGAGAGATGAAGGCTCGAAGAGAAACTCTAATAGGGTTTTTTGTATATGTGTTGTTTTGAAGAGTCTAATAATATATCTATACATACACTAACACATAAGCACACTTATAAGAATAATAGCAAGGAAATACAATGGAGATCAAGAAAACTTGCGGGAGAGATGAGGGCTCGAAGAGAAACTCTAATAGGGTTTTTTGTATATGTGTTGTTTTGAAGAGTCTAATATTATATCTATACATACACTAACACATAAGCACACTTATAAGAATAATAGCAAGGAAATACAATGGAGATCAAGAAAACTTGCGGGAGAGATGAGGGCTCGAAGAGAAACTCTAATAGGGTTTTTTGTATATGTGTTGTTTTGAAGAGTCTAATAATATATCTATACATACACTAACACATAAGCACACTTATAAGAATAATAGCAAGGAAATACAATGGAGATCAAGAAAACTTGCGGGAGAGATGAGGGCTCGAAGAGAAACTCTAATAGGGTTTTTGGTATATGTGTTGTTTTGAAGAGTCTAATATTATATCTATACATACACTAACACATAAGCACACTTATAAGAATAATAGCAAGGAAATACAATGGAGATCAAGAAAACTTGCGGGAGAGATGAGGGCTCGAAGAGAAACTCTAATAGGGTTTTTTGTATATGTGTTGTTTTGAAGAGTCTAATAATATATCTATACATACACTAACACATAAGCACACTTATAAGAATAATAGCAAGGAAATACAATGGAGATCAAGAAAACTTGCGGGAGAGATGAGGGCTCGAAGAGAAACTCTAATAGGGTTTTTTGTATATGTGTTGTTTTGAAGAGTCTAATATTATATCTATACATACACTAACACATAAGCACACTTGTCGTAGTATATCTATACATACACTCACACACACACACCCACATCGTATGAGCTACCAACAAGATCACACATCCCACTTTTCTCACTTTTCTTGAGCTTAGGTGAACGGGTTCTATGGTCCTAAGACATACTTAGGAAAATAAAAAAATAAGTAAAATAAAATAAAGGAATAAAAATATTTAAAAATAAGTAATTAAAATAAAATAATTTCAAATTTTTAAAGAACATAAATTCATTAATAATTTATTTAAAAACTAAAATAATTTAATAAGGACGAAAATTTTAATTTTTTATTGTGGAAGAAAAAACAAGAACAATGAGAAAACAAAAAGGGTTGACTAAAATATAATAAAGAAACAAATAATTTTTATGTAAAAATTAAAAGGTCAAAAAATTGATAAATTTTTTTAAAAAAATTTTGTTAAAAATAAATATAAAAGGAAAAAAATTGATTAAAAAATAATATAGAAACAAAAAGA